CATACCAACTCAGGAGTTATAATAAAATGCCAATTGTGGAAATGCATGGAAACTCATCTTTCTTCTCTGGGTAGAGAGTCTTATAACCTCAAAACTTGGCAACTCATGGGCACTATTCACATTTTTTCCCTCCATAGCAGAAATTATTCTAGTTTACTCTGAGGTATAAAGACTTTGATTTCTTAGAAGACTTCTTCCTAGACTCCCTGGTGATTGAACAGGCAAATTTGGCAGAATGTTAATGTTGAGTATTAACCATGGCAGAATTGAGAAGGCTATGTGTTCTGTAACATACCCCTCAAGCAAGAGCTCCAGTCGTTTCCCTAGCAGCGCGAGGGACCTGGGTGCTGTGATGCCTCAGCTGCCAGAGCACTCCTCATCCGGTCCAGTTCTGTTTCCAGGGAAAAGACTTCTGGTTTCAGGCCTGGAGAGTAAAGAACAGACTATCTGAAGACTGTGTGGAGACTCAACACTCTTCAGATGTTCAGTTATGAAAAAAAAAAAAAAACACTGAGTAAATGCTTTTGTTGTAATATAATTCACCTTCTAAGTCTGCCTTTGAGCTTTGGCCTCTACAGACTGAAATAGGTCATAGGGTCTCACAGATATTTTAAAAATAAAATCTGGGCTAAATATAGAGAAAAAAGAAACTAAAAAGTATCAATAAGGCAAATAATACTTACTACTAATATATATATTGATACATATGCACACAAAATTTTATAATTAGCTCATTGTTATCCTGTGGTTATTTGATTGGCCACAGAACTTGGGAGGTCCTGGTGCCCCCTGGTGGTCAATCAATCCTCAAATATTGCTGACACCTAAAAATCCATGCAATGAAGAGCTACAACATCAGGAGAGGAGAAACTATGACAGCTTGTAGAAATAACTAACATAATTTAAGCTGGCTCCTCCTATTAGCGTTAGTGATTGACAGGGAAATAAAATGTATGCAATGGAAATAACAAACATCCTCAAGGGAAAAAAACGAATTGAAAAATCTTTTTGAGAGTGTTACACATGTGAAATGATTTTCATGATCACATTCTGCCAGATATCTTTAGTTTTTAAACATTACTTCAATTAGGTAACATTCTTGAATATTTTAAGTGATTAGAAAACTCCAGTTTCAACTAAACAGTATTGACGTGGACTTCTAGAGTTGGTATAAATTATACTTCTATTTATTATGCAGTCTTAAACTAACTCAGTAATTGCACTTAAGAAAGTATAATGTTCTGAACATCAACCCGTTGTGTGACTTTATAATAGTGCTGATTGTTATGGAGGCACAAATGAAGCCTGCGCTTGGGAGATAATTATTAACCGCTGACTTTTGATACTGTCAGCTAAACCTGAAGATTAGGATAAGTGATATTTCACTATGTTTCCATGGGTTTAGCATGTCTATATTTTGTACATTAGATGGCACATATTTTGTATACATAAGTCATGCTAATGTAAATATGTAGATGTTTCACTGCACAGTGGAAGGGTTGTTTATATTTTGACTGACATCACAGATGGAGAACTCAATTCTCTGCACTGTCTATTAACTGAGACCTACTGCTTCTCTTCTGTTTGCAATCAGTTTCTTCTGCACAGTACCTTTTCTAATTCAGTTGAAATTACCACTTTTCTTTTCCTGTGATGAACTTGCATTTTCACATTTACCAGCTGCGAGTGCATTTAGACGGTAAGTACAAAAGTACTAGGTTCAGAACCCGCCCTTTGAGTTCATTGTAGTTTGACAGTCCAGGATTTGTAACTCACTGAAATCTCCATTGTTGTTTTATCCTCTAAAAGGCCTGAGCGCCATGAAGAGGGACACACATAGACACGCACAAACATTGAATATTTTACTATTATTAATATTAAGGTGAAATTGTATGGAACCTATTCTCTGAAGTCACTGTAGCTTATTCTGGAGTAACTATTTCTCTCTTAAATTCAGAGGATATGTCCCAAAGCTAACAATGAGGTTAGTATTAGAATCATATCAAGTTGCAAGAAAATTGTATTTTCCTTTGGGATTTATGTTTTGAATTTATCATTCAGTTATTGATAGGGCTACTTACGAGTTACAAGTGGTAATTATAAAAATAAAATAATCCAATGTGAAGAAAAGTGGATGTTTCTTCTTTTTCTCTGAAGACAGCATGTATTAGCCTTTTATTGGTTGTTTAAAACAGGTATTCTAAGAACAGAGATATAAGTGGGCATTTTAGGGTTTGAATCTCATTGTGTTTCATATTTATTTAAAACATTTAAAATATAATCAATCTGCTCCATTAGTTGCACTGCACTATAAACTTGAAAAGGCAGTTTTTGCAAATTATACTGGGGCTCAAGTGTTGAGTATCTATACCCTTTTATACCACTCAAGAACATGAGCCTTTTTCTAACATTTTATTAACAGTCACGATTTGTTTTCCTAAAAATTTGCCCTAAAAATAATACAAATCATAGATATGAAACTAAAATAATCTTAAGTGGTATGAGAAAATTGCCGTCATTTATTATCTTTGTATGTGTCAGTGTAGTGATTATTTCTAATTTCACTGCCTTTATTTGCAAATAGATTTACATGCTTTACAATTAGTCAAACGCAGCCTACTGAAAATTTTGTATTGGAACTATTGTAGAATGAACACTTGCTTCTTGATTGAGACATTTATCATGATTTAAATGCCTTGATTTCTTCATCAATATACCTAGTTACCCTTAAAGAAAGAAGTTTGGTAAACCTAAAAATGAATATCATTGTTCTGCTCTGCAGGGAGAACTGTCAGCAGCCTGGCATATGCGCATTTAATGTGAAGCTTCTTGTCTCTAAAAATAAGTGAGGCTGCACATGTTCCTGTGTCTGACAGAGAGCAGGGACACGATAACTGTACTCCCTGAGCCACCTCCGCTCATCTGAGGGAAGGACAGTGCTTGCCTGGCTTCCTACTTCTAACACAGAAGTATTTGTATTCACATCACTTACTATTAGTCATTCAACAGATGAAAGGAATATTTTAAACTTTAAAGGCTACCTTAGTGTCACTGTAGGACTGGAGATGGGACCTTAGGGAAAGTTGTAATCCCTGAGAATTTATTTTAACTATTAGAAGTGTTTAACATTTGCGAGTTCGTGGTTCAGTGAGTTTTACAGTCCGTGTGTAGAGAACTACATTTTTTTTTTTTAATTCTAATGTTTCAGCTTTCAGGTTTTATCCTTAAATCATCTATTTGTGTAACTAATGTTTCATCTTCTATGCATCAAGTGCGCTTTCTATTTACAGAAATGTGTGTATACTGTTTTTAAAGGTAATTTGTTAAGCATTTTACATTCTCTATGCCTCCTTTATTAAGCTATTTTAGATACAATTTCTAAAACATCCAATAGGCACAATGTAACATTCTAATAAAAAAAAAAGCTACAGAGTCAAAGTGGTTAAGAAGGAAATTCATTTCTCTCTTCCACATAATCTTATTAGACAAATAGGAACTACAGGAAACAATTTACAATAAAATAAAATGCAACTGTCTGAGGTCTGTCATCTCTGAGAGGTCTGTCCTATAAGCAGCAGAAACTAATCTACTTTGTTTCCCCACTACAATTGCTGGGAAAAGTTTGGAATCTGACAGGATCTAACTTAGTGCCCATCAGAAATAAAGGCAAATTTTGACTCATTGAAATTAGTTTTTAAAAGATGCAGAGGGCAAGGGCCACAAGAAGAGAGCACATATTAACCATGTCATCCAAAGTTATTCTTTGTGACCTTCGGAATTGATGATTTAGCAATTAAGATTTTAAGTTTCTTTCTCTTATTCAATTACCTACCTCTTGAATGTAAAGTATCCAAAACTGCTTAATGGAAAACAGATTTCTCTACGCAGTCATTCTTGCTGTACGGGTTAGATGAATTCAACTGGAGACTCTGTTGGCCACATTTTTTATTCTAAGTTTCCCTATCAACGATAATTATTGAATAAATACTGAGTGATCACTGAAGACAATTTGAGAAAGAGGAAAGCAATGTTTTATGGATTTAAAATGTTACAGCATTCTTAAGAAATTGAGTGCTATCTACGTAGCTAGATAGGAAACGACCAAATGGGGCAAGGAAAACCTCAGAAAATGTTGAACACGTAATAAAAACGGTAGGAAGTCTTTTAAAGCTTCACTTGTAACATCCCACTTCACTCAAAAAACTACTGTGAAAAGATAGGGCTGGAGTGAATCGGGTGCGGAAAACAAAAGGCTTCCTTTCTCCACTCCCTTCTCCTCTGTTTTCCAGGGTTGGTGGCAAAGTCCTGGAAACATTGTTTCAGCATAACGCATTTGGTTACTTTTTTTTTTCTTTCAAGGGACAGTGCTGGGTGGTGTCCCTTCCCTCCCCCACCCCCACACTTTAAGGAAAGGATAGAAAGTTTTCTTTTCGGCGGGGGAGGAGAAGGGAGAGCAAAAAGCAAAGTTACCCGATCCACGGAGGTTGTGAATAACAATAAAAAAAATTAAAAGACACTTTACTCAAAGACATAGCTTCTTGCACTGTCCAGGCTCCCTGTTTGGTAGCTCAGAGACGCTAGCTTCTCCTCTAGTTCCTAAAAACAGCGCTAGGAGAACCGTAAAAGAGAGGAGTGTGCACGTTGGGAGTATTATTCTCGGATTTATTCTGCTCCACGAAAGCTGCGGTTGCTAAAAGCAGGGCGCCCACAGCCACATGCCATCCTCGGCTTCCCTTGCAGAGCATCCAACGCTCCAGCCCCGAGCTCAGAACCTGGAGGGAATCCTGGACCCGCAACCTGACTCCGCTCGGCGCCGATTGGCGCGCGCCCTGGACGCCGCCCCCTCGGCTGGGGCGGCCGCTGCGCCGGAGCCCGCCCCCCAGCCCTGGGAATCGCCGCCTGGCAGGCCGGGCGCGCCTGCCACTCAGCCGGAGTGGCGGGGACTCTCGGCTTGCAGCTCCGCCCCCTCCCCCCTAATTGATATTATTGGAGTGTGGAGCAAGCGGCCGGTCTGCAGTCGGAGACTTGCAGGCAGCAAACACGGTGCGAACGAACAGGAGGGGGGGGCGGGGGAATAAAAAAAAAAAAAGCTAAGCGTGGAGCAGCCGGCCGGGGACCGAGAAGGATCGATGCAAGCAGCGCAAATAAAATAAAATAAAATCCAAAAATAATAATCAATACACTTCGGAACAAACAGCATTTCAAAAGCTACGACTCAAGATAATTGAGACCTAAAATAAAACCTGCTCATGCACCATGGTTTTTCAAACTCGGTACCCTTCATGGATTATTTTATGCTACATCTGGCTGCTCCGTTTTGCACACACGGGGGAGGCGCAGGCTGCGAAGGAAGGTAAGGCGATGGGGGAAAGCAAAGTTTGTTCTGACTTATTTATTTAGCTGTCTACCTGCACGAGCTGGTTAGTCCGCGGCTCTGCCGGCCGCGCCTCCGGCGCCGGGCGACCCTCCCCCGCCCGCTCCCCGCCCCCTCACCGCTCCGCCGGCTCCTGGCAGACCGGTAGGCGAGCAGCCGGGGCTGCACGGAGCCTCCTGCAGCCGAGCGTCCGGGGGGCCGGTCCGCCGGTGGGCAGCGGGCTGTCGGAGGGCGGCGGGGCGGGGTGGAGGCTGCGCCAGGCGAGCCCCTTCCCTGGCTCGCCGGGCGCGTCGCAGCTCTCGCTCTAGCCCTCTTCCCACTTCCTCCGCCGGGTTCTCGCCTCCGGTGGGAGAGCTCTGGCCGGAGTTGAGTGCGGGAGCCGAGCGAGCGCAGCCGCTAGCGTCCAGGCCGAGCCCGCGGGCTGGAAGCAGGAGCCCCGTAGCCTTCTCCGCCGGGCCAGAACTTGTAGGAGCTCGGAACGCTCGGGTCACTAAGGAAGTGCTCGCTGCGTCGGAGGCGGCATCGCGGGCCTGCGGTGGGCGCTCGGCCGCCGGCGCGGAACAATAACGCCGCCGAGTGCAGCCGGCCGAGGGCGCGCAGCCTGCGCCCGGCTCCGGCTCCGGGCGGGGGAGGGCTCCGATCGGAGCGCGCGGCGCACGGGGCCGCCGGCCGAGGGGGCAGTGACTGGAGGGGGCAGTGGCTGGAGGGGCAGTGCCTGGAGGGGGCAGTGGCTGGAGGGGGCAGTGGCTGGCGGCCCAGCGGGCTGCTTCGCGCCCAGGGGAGGCGTGGGGCGTGCTTGGGCTGAGCGCTTTGCCAGACGATGCCGCCTGGCCGATTACAAGTCTCTCCAGTTTTGGCCCGCAGTTCAGCAGTTGAGGAACGCGAGTGGCCAAACCGTGTGAGAGACTGAACCCCGAGGCTGAGTTCTTGCAGGAGGGAGCAGGTTGTATTTGGCCAGCTGGATGCGCCTCTATTTGCTTATTCCAACCCCCTCCCCTCCGCATCTCCTTTGAACCATTGACAGAAGGTAAAATACCTTCCAGTGCCTGTAGTTGGAGCTGGGGAAAAATAAATCCTGTCAGTGGAAGCGTCTTGCTTCTGAGCGGTGTCACAACCCCCTCCCCCCCAGCATACACGCACACACACACAAACACACACACACACGCACATACGACTTCCAGGTTGTCGAATGTTGTTTTCCGGGTGCTTTCAAAGCAGAATGTGAGGAATTGTTCTGAAGTGTATGGCGAAGAGGCTCCATGGTCAAATTTAGGTCACGGTGCTGAAGGGGCGCGCGAGGTGGTGGTGGTGGTGGTGGTGGTGTGTGCTGCTCATCAGTGTGGCTGCATCGACTCTGTTCCTGAAAACTTAGTGATTCGGTGCTGGGTTCTTCTATTTCTCTGGGTGCATCCCTCTTCGTTGTGTCCCTGCCCCGCCCCCTCCCAACTCAAGGCTGCATCCTAGTTTTTCATCAGGCCTGACCTTCTGACCCCGGTTTCCACACGTACACCTCGAGTGGATATTGACCCCATTCCGAGCAAACCGAGCCTCCGAGCTGACGGTCACGCGTTTGCGTTCGGGTGGTGGTCTGCTTTAAACGCACGCTCGCTCCCAATACCGGACCACGGGGGTGGACTCTGTGAGCGAGGAGACGCATTCAGTCCCGGGCCCTGGCTCTCCTCGGGCAGAGCGGGACCTGAGGAAAAGTTTGCACGGCGGCGGCGGCGGCAGCGAAGCCGGGAGCTCAAGCCTGCTCGGGCCGGAGTTGGAGCTATAAATAAGTGCAGCACTAGGGGGAGAGGTTCCGCAGCCAGGGTGGCTCTCTCGCTCGCTCGCTCGCTCACTCTGCTCTTCTGGGTGAGGGCTACGTGAGAGGATGCCGATGCTGGAAGCCTGAATTCTTTAAACGCAGAAGTGAGGTGTTAAAAGGCAGCGAGGGCGGGGGTCGTGTGTCCGGGGCAGGCGGGTGGCGAGCGCGCCCGACTTCTCCGTGGCGGTGCCCACCGTGCGCTGGGGCGCTCGGAGCGGGCGTTCCGGGAGCGACCAGGCGCTCAGGCGCTCCACCGTGTGCCAGGCGCCCTGGACAGGAAAGCGCCGGCAAGCGCCCCAGACAGGTGCTCGGTCTCCCCCTGCCCTTCCTGGGATGCCAAACTGTGGCTCTCTTAAAGACGAGGGGCCCGTTTCGTGCACTTTCCCCCATTCCCCTGTACGTCCTCTCTCACGGACGTCGGTTCTCGGCTGCTGGAAGGGAGCGCCTGTGTCTCTGAGAGGCTAACGCTGGCAGACCGAGCGCAGCCGCTCGCACGCAGCCGCCTCCCCCCGCCGCAGTTCTCTCAGAGGAGACGCTTCCCGGAAAGCTTTGCCTCAGCTCCCGGAGGCTCCTCGTGAGCCAGGGCGCCGCCGCTTCCCCGGAGTGCCCAGGTCTGGCGGTGGCGTCACGGCTGCTCGGCGCGCCCCGCAGGCGACCCCGCCCCGCCCCGCCGGCGTCCCCGCCCTGGCCCCCGGCCGCCCGCCGCGACCCCGCCGCCTCAGCCCGGCGCGCCCGGGGCGTGGGAGCCCGCCAGCCCCCCGACTCGGTCCTCTCCCCTCCCCGGGTGGGCTGCGTGGCCGCTGGCAGGCGCTCGGTGCTGGGCGCGGGAAGGCCAAGCGCGCCCGCCCGGGAGGGCTGAGCCAGCAAGCGCATGGCGGGGAGAGAAGCGCTGCTCAGCCGAGACAGAGCTGCTTCCTCGTCAACGCCGTCCGCCCCCCACCCCCGCCACTTTCGGTTGTGTTTTACTTTTGTTAGTTTCTCTAACTTGCTTGCTGTCGACGTCCTGCCTCGATCCCTGACCTCCAACCCCCGACCCCAGCTAAGGGAACTAACTACCACAAAGAATCCCAAGGAACTAAGAAGGTCACTTGCCTTTAAAATCTGGTCATCTCCTTGTCAGCTCCAAAGACCAAATAACAAAGCATGTGGAAGGGAAGAGTACGGAGAGCCCACGATATTTCCTTGTGCTTCGTTTCCAAGGTTGAGGGTGAAACAGCACGTTAACAATTACTTTTTACATCAATTCGCTAGTCCAGAGATTCACTAACTTGGCCCGTTTAAATTTTAAAAGTGATGTACCTGTATGTGCTTCTTAATTGAAACGGAGACGTCTGTTTTGTGGTCTGTCATGGTCACCTTGAGGGTCTTGAGTGGAAAAAAAAAAAAAACAACGCTAGAACAAACCCTGCCGGTGTCTGTCTGCAGCTACGAAGGATAACCTTGACTTAGTGTGAAGGAGTTGAACATATCCCCATATTTTCCTTTATTTTCTTGGCATAGTCAACATTTATTACCTTTCCGACAGTACACATATTTTCCAGGTGTGACTGAGAGTTATTCAATATTTAAAAGCCCCTCTAAAATACCCGTACTGATTTTTAACATTTTGCTGAATTTGACCTTATCCATGTTTACACACTTAGAGAATATACATGCTCTCTGCACAGAGAGAAGCCTTTGTTAGGATGCTAGAGAGTCAGATAGATATTTCTAAAGTGTCAAACTCCTGTGAAACCAGTTTAACCAGAGAGTGAGTGAGTTGAAAGGATAATTTTCTTGAGAAGTATGTGTATTAATTTTGTGTAGCGTCCTAATGCTTTTACATATGGATACTCTAAAGAGAATTTGTTACATGAAATGTAAATAATGATGTAATGGAATGTTTTGATAGTAAAATGTGGAGTACAACTGTTAAGGAGGTCAAATCTTATTTGAAATGAGGGCTCAGATATACCATTTTGAGAATTAGAGGTCGAATTATTTAGATCTTGCAAAAAAAATACTGAAAACTTTTTACACATGTATATTTTCCCCCTGAAAATATCCTAGTTATCCTAGACTTAGCCTAGTTGTTTTAATATTTCTATGCTTATTTCAGCTGAAGAACATTGTGTGTGGGGATTTGAAAAAATAAAGACTGACAAAGAAATGCTTGAGTTCACACAAAGCAATGGGGGATGTTGTTAGCAGAATGTTCAAAGTTAATGACTGAGTGACAAGTAATGCAGGAATTATGCCTCATTGTGTTCATGTTATTATATCTGAGAACAAATTATAGGGTTCAGTGATTGATAAACCTACTACACAGAGTTACTGTAGAACCAGCATACCATATAGCAGTTTTACCCAAAATAATTATATTGCATTTCAAGATTCATTTTGAGATTTAATCAAAGATCATCCAACAGAATATTGGCATCTCAACTTTATTTCTCCTTCAGAAAATGAATATACTTGTGTCAGGTGGCTATTCATTTCATCATTCTATTAAGGACATATCCATACATCTTAATTCCTTAGGAGATCAATTTAATTCGAAGTTAGGTTTAACCTAAAATATTTGCGTATTTACTCACATTTTTGTGTGTAACCTCTGGAAATGAATGTCTGTTTTTCAGTGCTGCTACTGGATTCTAAGGCGCAGCAAACAGAGTTAGAATGGATTTCTTCTCCACCCAGTGGGGTAAGTGCTTGCACTGAGTTTTAAAATCAACAGTGCCTTGTCTTTTAAATTAGAAACAAACCTTTCCCCTGCCACTCCACGGGAGATTTTCACATTCATGCTTAAACTGCTTAGTGCTATATATGTTTTCATCATTTCTTTTTGCTTGTAATGACCCACTGAGTTCTCTGAGTAGAAAACTTGGGCTAAAATTAAAAAAAAAAAAAATCCTAACCTAACCATACACTTCAGAGTTCTCAGTGTGAGTGGAACCAGAGCTCAGGGTCCATGCTATAAATGCTCACTAATTATAGGGGACATGCTTTCCACAAACTCACTTAAACCTCTTTAGTTGCTTTATACATTTGTGGTATAATCATCAGGTAGGTTGTATGTAGTTCTTAAAAACAGTATGGAATCTATTTTCCTCTTTTAAAATCTTTTAGCATCATTTGATATAACACTTGAAAAGGTAGCTAAAAATGTAATATGCTCAAGATGTGTTGAAAATCAGTTATAAAATATTATTTGGATTCTTTAAATGTATATCATGTGCTGTCTGCTGGTATTAATTGGAAGTGATGACTGGTATGTACATGTTACAGTAAAAATATATTACTTATATGAGAGATGGCACATTCCTCATCTCTTATTGAAAAGGAAGATTTTTAAAAAGGAGAATATATCTCTTTGTTACTTAAGTTTATCTTTCCAACAGTAAGAAATTTGGACTCAAAAGAGCATGAAATTTAAGTGAGATATAAAAACTGAAAAAGGTTTTGCAAAGAATCTAAGTCTGAAATGATTTTGAGAACAAGAGCATCATAAATTTGATATAAATCGCGAACCAAAGATCAGTTCAAAAATGTAAAGTGTGAACAATGCAAATCTTAATTTGTGACAGATTACTAAATACATTCTACAGTATTTGCACTCTTCCCAATAGATTAGGAAAAAAGATAAATATTTGCTGATTAAACCCCAAAAGTGCTCTGAATTGTGATATGTATGCATTGCTTTTCTTGAAAGTAAAATGGTTTTCATGACTAAAATAATATACGTCATGGAAAGACATTCACAATAAAAAATGAAACACCTCCATTGCCATTGACAGATGTAGCCCATTTTCTGCCATCCATCAATTAAAGCAAGTAGAGATAAAGGATGATTTTATCTCTGAGGAGAAGTAAACTGATACATTATTTTAGTATTTCATCCATGTAACCTATAAAATGATAAATTATGATTGTCAATGTCATCTTGGACTCAAATGGGCATTTTATCACTCCAAAGCGTCTTGAGCTAACAATTAACCTGACATTTTTTCCTGAATCTATGGGTGATATTAGAAAATGGTGACCGACATCATTTGCTGTGTTAGACGGATTAGTATATATATATGATTAATTATCTACGTGTTACTTAAACATGTTTCCAAAAATTATTTTTATTAGCATACATTAATGATATAGTGTCTGAATTCAGATATTTTCCCTAATGGTTGTTAATTTTGGAAATGATTGCAGTCTTTTTTTTTTTTTTTGCACTCTTTTAAAAAGTTAGATAAGATAAGAATTGTGTTGTATGCATCTTATAGCCTTGCCCTTTATTATACTGCAGTTTTCTAGGACAGGTTTCCTCATAAATGTTTTTTTTTTTTTTTTAAATAGTTGCTCATTTAACTGAGTTTAAAACTAGCAAAACCGACAATATTGTATGTTGAACAAAACTGTTCCTGAAATTAGGTAAAAGAAATCTTGAGATAGATTCCTTTATATATTATATTAGAATCAGTTTCATTAAACTGGTTGATTGTTAAGAAGTGCAAATTTATATTTGGAACTTCTCAAGAGTTTGGTGGGTAACGTTACTAGCTTTACTTCTGCCCGCAGTTTCAATCTAATTAGGAGCCTAAAATCTACCCATCCAAATGGATGCTTTTGCGTGCACTTGGTTGACTGCCATTCAAATAGATTTTAAGCAGCTAACTGAAACACAGGAAAACTACACATGCTGTTAATTTGTCACAAAAAATGTCGCTGAGCATGAAAATGTGTTCTTTAGTGCATTGATGGGCTTTTAATGATATTGTGCTGTAACAGAACAATAAGAAATTCCATGTGAATAATATGAGGGATATTTCAATTGTAATGTGTTACTGGTTTGTCAGTGTTGTTAAAATTAGATATTAACATTATACAGAACACTTAAATACATCTATACTGTGATGAAGGGTTACAAATAAGTCCTTTACGCAGGCTTATATTTTTCTATTACATTTCATTAAACTGTAGTTAAATTCTTGCATGTAACTATGAGCTAAATATTGATATGTTCTCATATTTATTGCAGTTTAAGAAATCAGTACAAGTTTATGACAGTTTTGTTATTAAATCATCATAAATGTAAGCAAGAAATTTTGTATTAATCCTGAGAAAGAATATAAAATGCTATTATTTGAGATTTTAAGACCACTAAGTAAAATAAATTGATTTTTCAATTGGAGAAAGATAATTTTATAAATTACTCCATAATATCAGAAATATCACATATGTTATAAAGCCTTATATTTTCTTTTTTGACAAAAACATGCCACATGAATTTGTTATGAATTTGTTAGTACTTTGCATTGCATCAGGGTGTAAATCGATATATATATATATCTATCTAATAATTTACCTGTTGTAAAAGTATTTCTAAACATCATAAATACTGATTTTTCATGTACATTAATTGTTGATTGAAAGCTATTTATTTGTTGATATGTATCATACATTTAAAGCTACTTATAATTATGTGGCCTTACTTAGAGTATAAAATATATTACTGGAATAAGGGAACTGTTCTATAACATGTTATTCCATCAAATTTCATTTTGAAATGACTGTAAAATATTCCACATTCTAAAAATCCAGTCATTGTTAAATGCTTTTATATTTCAGTGTTCTTGACATGTTTTTCCTTATGTTTGTAGGTACTTTCTAATATTAAGCACAAAAGGGACACTTAGATTATCTGCTGGTTGTCAGAAATTCTGTGCATCCATTGTAAATGCCTTAAATTATAATTTGGATATTTTTTATTCTATGAAATTGTAACCTTGACAGGGGATAGATATGAGCAAATGTGTGAAAAGATACATTAATACGCTAGTTAATACACTAGTTAACAAATATCAAACAAGGCCAAATATTTATCGCGGGTATAAGCAGCACAGGAAGATGAAGTGATTTTTCTCACCAACAAGTCCAAGCAGAACTGGGAATCTCCTACATTCGTTGGTGTACACGGTTTACTGTACAACCTCACTCTTTTGTGTTTGTCATAAACCAAAGATTCCTCATGCATTCAAAAGGCAAAAGGTCATTATTATTTGCTGATGACTGATGACCTGTTTTAATTTTACAGTGGGAAGAAATCAGTGGTTTGGATGAGAACTATACCCCAATCCGAACATACCAGGTGTGCCAAGTCATGGAGCCTAACCAGAACAACTGGCTGCGGACTAACTGGATTTCAAAAGGCAATGCACAAAGGATTTTTGTAGAATTGAAATTCACCCTGAGGGATTGTAACAGTCTTCCTGGAGTATTGGGAACTTGCAAAGAAACCTTTAATTTGTACTATTATGAAACAGACTACGATACTGGCAGGAATATAAGAGAAAATCTTTATGTAAAAATAGACACCATTGCTGCAGATGAAAGTTTTACCCAAGGTGACCTTGGTGAAAGAAAGATGAAGCTTAACACTGAGGTGAGAGAGATTGGACCTTTGTCCAAAAAGGGATTCTATCTTGCCTTTCAGGACGTAGGGGCTTGCATAGCTTTGGTTTCTGTCAAAGTATACTACAAGAAGTGCTGGTCCATTATTGAGAACTTAGCTATCTTTCCAGATACCGTGACTGGTTCAGAATTTTCCTCCCTAGTCGAGGTTCGAGGGACATGCGTCAGCAGTGCAGAGGAAGAAGCGGAGAATTCCCCCAGGATGCACTGTAGTGCCGAAGGAGAGTGGTTAGTGCCCATTGGAAAGTGTATCTGCAAAGCAGGCTACCAGCAAAAAGGGGACACTTGTGAACGTAAGTAATACATGCTATTCAAATTCTACTTTGTCTTTTTTCCCTGTTTTAATGCCAATGTTATAAGAATAAGTATTTATGTATCTCTTTTTGTGACAGTAGCCCAATGCAATAGATCTTAAGTGAATATTGAACTTGATGATCTATAAGGATATCTGCTGTAAAGGTATACAGGGAATATTGATATCAGTGATAATTGTTACTAAAATTAAAGTTGTCCTAGGCTTCCTATGGAAGTCACGGATGCACACTGTGCTCTGGGCTTTCAGAGAGGAGACTGGTAGGTGGACTTTGCGCTAGGAAGACTGAAATGACATTGATCACAAGTGATGACACATGATTTCTCTTATTTTTGAACTGGGATGATCCGGACTGTAATTTGCAGAATAGAGGATGTTATTGGGCTATTAAAATGAGATTTACTGAGATGCAGTGAGTGAATAAATATGTTACAAAATTATAATTAATTTATTAATACTGAGACCATGATACAAAATCATTAAATTTTACTAAATGGATTTCAACAATTTGGTCAAAGCTCTAAGTTTTAAATTGTGGGCTACTTTTCTTTGTGGAAATGGACCAAAATAAAGTTTTACTTGTCTCTGGATGGATGCTTCTGTTCAGAGACATTACTTTCAAATGTTTTTGAAACTACATTCTTTTACACACTCGCACAGCAATATGTGGTTAAACAATTGCTTCCACCCCCTGTTTTTTTTGTTTGTTTGTTTTATTTTGATGTTACATAAACGTCCAGGATTTAGGGATTTTTTTTCCCCTAAAAAATATAGTAAAATTATACTATTTGCGTTTCTAATAACAAGTTAAATTTACAAACCAAAAACCTCATTTGTTCAGCTAACTTATGAAACAGAATATCTTTCAAAAATATCTTTCCTGTATTCTTTTGCACTCCTAAGCCAGGACTGTAATTTTAATATTTTGAATCAATTGTTGTCATGAACTGTAGATAAGGAAAAGTATTATAAATAAATTTGATTGAAAACTTACATGCAGACTCCTTTCCATATACCAGCTTAATTGATGAGACAGAACTCACTATTACTTGGCTATCAAAGGTAAATAACTTGATTGCTGTCAGTTGAGTAGCATATATGTTAGCTTACATTCAGATGTATGGCATTTAGACTCCAGCACCTGAGCGTTGAGCAACAATGTTGCCCTAGTTTCCATCGCAAAGCAAAAAGAATTTCAAAAATTATTTTATTCCATTGCTAAACTGCTGTCTTCAATCATAACGGTCTGATACACTCTTATATAAACTTCATGAAATTATTTCTAGTAGAGTATTTAATAACTAATAAAAATATTTAGATCTCTTTTGTCTATACTGTGGTACCCACAGACACATGTGGCTCTTTAGGTTTTGAAATGTGGCTATTCAAAGTTGAAAGATGCTAAAATTATTAACTACATACCAGATTTTAAAGCCATCTAACAAATAAAAGAAACCATGTGTCACTAGCAATTTTAAATGTTGATTATACAATTGAACTAATCATATTTTAGATATATTAGGTTAAATAGAATATAGTATTCATTTTCCTTTTAAACTATGTGTCCTTGCTATTATAGAGTGGCTATAAGAAATTTCAAAATTAAGCTTGTGGCTCATATTATATTGCATACAATTTTAGATGGAACAATTAAAACAATATGCTTTCCCATCTTCTATATAGAATTAGAAACTTTTAGTGGATGTTCTCTAAGATTATAAGGTATCCAAAGCTCAACAAATAATTATCATCTGCACCATAGATGACCTTGTGTCTTCTGAGGAAAAATTATACACATACTTCAGGATCAGGTCATGTAAACCAGTCTAGGGAAATCCTGTTGTGTCCCCCGATGATGTCATATCTGTCTCCCAGTATCTGCCGTCCCTTAGGCGGTATTTCTAATTTGGTAGAGAATCCTACAGGTTTCTATACATGTGCTAAATAAACTCTAAGATTTATTACTACTGGTAGGGAAAATTCTGTCCCACTTGGTTTATTGAAATATTCTTAGTGAACCAATCAATCCAATTACAAACTGTTTTCTTATAAGTGAGAAGTTGCCAACAGCTACTTGAAAGTGACAGTGCAGTCACCAGTAATTCTTATAAAACTATTTAAAGAACAGTAGGACAGTTTGCTTGGAGTAGCAGCTGGATTTAAAATTATAATGGTCCTGATAGATGTGAAAGTAATGTTTAAAAGTTTTAGGAACAAAAGAAATAAAGCAGAAATACTTAGGAAAATGCAACAATTAAAATTAACCAAGAGGGTACCAGATCATGTTAAAGGCACCTTTAGAGATTTTAAGTAGAGATACATGTTTTTTATTTTGTGTTGTGTAATTTACCTCAGGTGGTTTTATTACTCTCCCTCTATATCCATGTGTATTTATGGCATATATAGTTTTTGTTTAAAAATGAAATAGGTTCTGTTTGAACTAGAGAAACCAACTCATTCATTGTGATCATATTAAGATTATTCTTATTAACTTGATTTCAAGAGTTGAAATTACATTTGAGTGCTAAAATGATTGACATTTGTAAACTATTTCAAGACCCCCCAAAATAAAGTAGATTACCTTCACTGTCATCAACATTAATTCTGCCTTGAAATATGTGAAATGTGTACTAATAGTGAGGGTTGATGTGACTAAAAACATGAATGAAGGAGGCAGGATACATCTGCATCCTTGTGGTTCGGCTACAGGAGTAAGTGCACATACCTGTAAGTCAAGAAAATGGTCTATGACATAACTTTCTTAAATTTTAGCCTTGAAGATGTTGACAAGGGAAATAAAAAGGACATATTTTACTGGAGCTAGGTTCATTTGCAAAAACGCTTCCCTGCTTGGCAGGATTCCAGTACATTGCTGCAAAGTACTTGCCTTTGGAATCAGTCCAGGCCTGCCTTTATAATATTCCTCTGGTTTCCTGTTAAGAGTTTGACAACAAAACCAGTCACATATTGAGGAAAACTGATGTTTTTGAAAGAGGATGCTAGCAATTGCCAAACCAAGTGAGGGTAGTCAGCCACTTCAGGACACATTTATTTGAGAACTTCTGGATGTGGCTGTCAATTGTGATGCTTCTTAAAGAGGAATATAAAATACAAGTAACAATGAAAACTATAATGATTGCTTTAAGCATGAGTTTCTTTTTAGTGACCAAAAATGAAACACTCAAGTTTGGATCAAATCTATCTTGTATACTCATTGGAAAAACCCAAATCTTAAATGCAGTATTTTTATTAAACAGTGATTTTATGAAACAGTACTTTAATCGTTTATAATATTAAAGCTAGATTGGTATAATTTTATTATCACAAATCTTTCTCTAAAATTTACCTTATAATTTTTGTCACAACTTTTATGTAAGCTAACTCACATATTTTCTTTGATGAATGGTGTAATCATTTTAACCTGAGATTCGATTATAATAAATTCCATACATAAATTTTGGGGAAGCTAATAAAACTGTATATTAAAATATGTTTTTCATTTTTGTAATGTTTGTACAGTTTTATTCAAAATCTGAAGTTGGATAGTGTTTCTCAAAGTGTACAGTTAGCAGTATTATAATTTAACTTTGTCATTAGGGAATTTGTTGTTTATATTGTACAGTCACATTCTTCTGACCATTTACTTTTTAAGCATATCATTAAGTGGTAGAAAGTATTATCTTTTTCCTCCTTTTCTAAAAACATATGAGAAAACCAAAGTTCAACAGTATTTAATAAGTAACTAAATTTTTTAAGCATTCAGAATCCTGATTGTCAGTTTTTTTCACTAACCCACACTGCTTCTCTGAATTATTTTTGGAGTTCAACCGCGAGATTTTTAGTTATTGAAGAACTAATGAAACTTGGTTGTAAGAGACACAAAAATAAACATAATTTTTCCAGGATAATTGTTTCAGTTATTAACACTTTGTTCTTTTTGCTTTGTGAGTGTTCTTTCTGGTTTGAATGAAAAAATATATGGTCATCACAGTTGTGAAAACTGAGGGATGTCAGTACACTTTAGGCATATACAAATGTTGTTGGCTTGCCTAATTTATGTTGCTTAATGTAAACTTTGTACAAAGATTTAAAATTTTATTTTATTTCACATAAAGGAGAATTGAAATAATCAAAGAAAAATAAAAAATAAAAATAATCAAAGGAAAATTTTCACAGAAAATTATGTTAAAATTTCTTATATTTTTCTACCAGTACATTAACTGGTTTATCATTAATTTAAAATATGTAATTTATGTATATATATATATGTACATATATATAATGTATGGCATTCAGTGAATTAAAATATACATTTCATTGTATAGCATTAAGAATATTTAAAATGTTCCTGATTATATTTTTTTAAAACCATGCTTTATTGTTACTGACCAGCAATGTGAAATTTTGTCTCATAAAATTAAATGGCAGCATTTGGGCCTTAAGACGTGTATTATTTATACTTATCTATATGTGCTGAAATGTAAGAGACATCACAGGGTTAATAACGCAGATATTAAAGTCAGTGAGTTTTTAAATGCTGACTGTACAACTCACCATGTTCATGAAGTAGGGCAATCTCTATAAACCTCAATTTCCTTAAGTATGAAATGGGGCTAATAAAAATAGTTCTTCCCTCATAGGGTTCTTGTCAAAACTGAATGAAACAGCACATATAAAAATCCTGAAAACTGTATCTAGGACATAGCAAATAATCAATGCATAGTTGTTAGTTTCTTCTTCTTAATAATACAGCCAGGAATTTGCTATGTAAAGCAATTGCATAGTAATGAATGAATAAGCATTTATTTTGTAGGTCACAAATAGTTGAATTTTCTTTCCATAATCTCACCCCTGATAATTTACCTACAAGGGTATTATAATGAAAGAGATTCAATTTTTATGTAACCATTTTCTTGCTAGGAATGCCTGTGAATTGGAACTTCAGGAATAATCAAATGTCTAAAGTCAAGGCACATTATT